TATCTGCTTTTCTTTCTCCACCACAGCCGTTATCAACAAGAGCACTCACTTCCCAGGGATGGTAGATGGCCGTGGAAGTGAAGTCTAGCTCTTTGTCTCTAATGAAGCTCTTTGTAGGCATATACAAGTGTGGCTTCTGAGATAAACTGCGTATTGTTCCTTTGAGAATGGCTCTTGCCACTGCTTTAAAATGGTGATAACTAGAAAGGAGGAAAATATGTCTAATATATATATATATATATATATATACATATATAAAATATGTGTGTGTGCATATATACATATATATATATTAGAATATATATTCTCGATATATGTACATATATACAGAAAACTCTCAGTTGCGGCTCTCATCTTTACCACCTTGTGTATAATACCGTAATATCTACTATTTAGGCAAGACAATCTGTCCTGCTCCTCTCACTTATTGTAATATGTAAAACATTTTACTTCTTCAGTTTTTTATTATTTATGAGTTTTTTTTATTTGTTTGTATATTTTTGAGACAAGGTCTCACTTTATGAACAATGTCCTCCTACAACTTATTAGCCCAAGCTGGTCTTATGTTAGTGATCTTCCTATGCACTGGGGTTATAGGTGTGAGTCATCATATCTGGCAGCATTTACTTTTTAAGTAGTTTTGAAATGTTATTTAAATAGACAATTTATCTTTCTGTTCTCAAAACATCTATTCCAACAAACACTAGAGGGCATTCATAGCTCTTCTCAAAAACATAAAATGACATTGCTTAACAAAGAACTGAGGAAATCAAGGCTTTCTTCACATTTTTATCCTTGAATTTTTATGTTTTACATACATTTCATCCAAGTTTGATAACTACGCTATTAACATATCCCTTCCTGGCCTATAGGAACTCATTTTTCATATTAGGTGAAAATCTAATGAAAGTTAGTTAAATTTCAATGCTGTACGTGAAATCTTTTAAAAGTGTGACATGCTCAAGAAACTGTCATTTGGGGGTTTGGGTTCTGATGTTGACATCTGTCCGCTGAGTATTCTCACTTGTCAAACTTGATGGCTCCCCATCTTCAGGAATGAGCTAGCGCTCTCCTGAGCAATGGCAGTCCAGCCTGTGGAGAAGGTCCAGGAACTGCAGGAGGTGGAGGTCCTAGAGAGCAGGAAGAGAAAGCAAGGGAAATTCCATCAGATAAGGGGAACTGGAGATCAGTAGAAATGAAGTCTTCGATTTTATCTGATGTGACATTCCCAGGCTAACTCGTGTGTGTGTGTGTGTGTGTGTGTGTGTGTGTGTGTGTGTGTGTGTGTGTGTGTAGAACTGTTGAACATTTACAGCTCTTCTAAGTTGCTATCCTTCTACTGTCTTGTTTACAGATCACTCACGTCACTCTGCCTCATTCTGACTTGTTTCCTAGTCAATCAACCAGCATCACATTAGAAAATAAAGGACAAGCCACCTTAGACATAAATGGAAAAGCCAACCTGCTAGCATTCCACACCAAGTCAAAAGAACATGACTTTTGGATTGTTTAGTAGAACATGTCAGGGCACCTGTGGTCCCAGTAGGCTGAGGCAGGAGGATGACTTGAGTGCTTAAAGCACATAAGTTTGAGACTAGCCTGGGCAACAGAGCAAATCTCTGTCTCAAAGCAAACCCCAAACCTCCCAAACCAAAAGTAGTAAGTTCAATTCAAAGTTTTTTTTTTTAAGAGGGATGGGGTGGGGGAATATTTACTGATGTTTGCTGACTATGTCTTGGGTACTCCCCACACTGAAACATGCCTGCTGGCCTCATGTTGACATCAGCTACATTCCAGATCAGCATTGTGGACCTAGCCAGCTTCCCGTGTGTGGCATGAGCATCCCCAGCCTGGTGAGACACTAGGCTTCTTCAGCTGTGTCTCCTTTGGTCTCTTCAGTCATTACACTGTTACTGATGTTTCTTTTCCTGTTACTACTGTTGTTAAAATTCTCTCCAAGAAGCACATATATGCTTCCTGTAACAGGAAAAACAATGTTCTACAAGTGATGGCTGTGAATTGAAAAGTATTATGCTGGGCCAAGGACCACTAAATTCTGGGAGGCCACCTGCTCTTGGATGGCTTTTGCCAGTGAGTTTGGAAAGCAATTAAAGATGCTTACTTTTTTGTGTCATGTCAATGTCAGCAATTAGGGGAGGCATATGGAACTCGCCTTGTGCCCTTTTATTTTTTTAAAATAATTTATTTATTTTTATTTTATGTGAATTGGTGTTCTGCCTGTATGCATGTCTGTGTGAGGGTGTCTGATCTTGTAGTTACAGACAGTTGTTAGCTGCCATGTGGGTGCTGGGAATCGAACTCATGACCTCTGGAAAAGCAGTCGGTGTCTTAACCACTGAGCCATCTCTCCAGTCCCAAAATGTTTGTTTGTTTGTTTAATATTTTTTAAGATTTATTTTATTCATTATGTATCCAATGTTCTGCCTGTATGTTTGCTGCAGGCCAGAAGAGGGCACCAGATCTCATTACAGAGAGTTGTGAGTCACCATATGGTTGCTGGGAATTGAACTCAAGACCTCTGGAAGACCAGTCAGTGTTCTTAACCACTGAGCCATCTCTCCAGCCCTGCCTTATACCCTTTTAAGGAGGAACAAAACTAAAGGCCTCAGATTTATAGGGACTCATTTATGTGAAGATAATAAATTCTCAAGCTAATTTATTTATGCAAATATTTTTACTGTAATGAAAATAAAATGTCCATGAAAGTTCTGAGTTTCTGATTATAACAGAAAATTACTTATGCGCATTCTTCATTAGAACTTACAAAGTCCTTAGAATGGATTTTGGAATTGTGGACAAAATTGCATAGGGAGATTGTGTGGACTCCTTTAGGACAGTTCAAGTTTATTATCAAGAAAAAAATGCACAGCAGATACTGTATACCCTTTGTTAATTAAATGATGTATAACCCAGGTGTGTGTGAGTGTGTATTTGTATGTATGTGTGTGAAACACAACAACATTTTCATGCAGGTTATGTGTATTTAATGCACTTTCTGTATTTCTAAACACTTTATAGAGTTACTATTATAATCATACAAAGTACCTTAAATATTCGAAATTTTATAACACACACACACACACACACACACCAGGTGGTGCATGCCTGTAATCCCAGTATTCAGGAGATAGAGGCAGGAGGATTGTCAATTCAAGGCTAGCCCGGGCTGCATAGCAGACTATGTATATGTGTGTATAAATAACTTGCTGGGTATACATATAGTATGTAAAAAAAAAAATCTATAAAATATTACCTCAAAAAGCAAATGAGCATGTTTGTGTGTGAGTAGATTGCAGAAATAATACAGGCAGGACTCTGTACTTTTGAAATAAGAACAATGAATATTAGATTCACAACAAAGCCTTTTAGATAGGTAACACTCAGTATGTATGGGATGCATGGCTGGTCTCCACATGCCCTGCATGGCTGATGTGTCTGCTTCTAACTTATCACTGCTGTCTATTACCCTCCTATCCCCTCTGTCTCCATGCTCCTTTTTTCCTCTCTAGGCTGAAAAAGTTCTGAGATAGGGGTACTTCAGATTTACCCATTGTTTCTCGACTCTCTCAAAAAATGTAGACATAAATGACATTAAGTAAAGTTATTTCCTTTATCATTGATGAAGTCACAATGACATATATAAAAGAATGTTGGCTATTATAAATATTCCTCCTTATGACTGTCACGTTTATCAAAGTTTCTTTTTCTTTTTAATTGTGTGTGTGTGTGTGTTTGTGTGTGTGTGTGTGTGTGTGTGTGTGTGTGTGTGTGTGTGTGTGTGTGTGTGAGTGCCTGGAGATGCCAGAATTGGGTCCCCTTGGAGCTGGAGAAGTGATGGGTGTTCATGAGCCTGATGTGGTCCCTGGGAACCAAACTCAGGTCCTGTGCAAGAGCATGCTCTTAACCACTGAGTTATCTCTCCAGGTCCACTTCATATTTTTTTGAGCATCCAGAACTCAACTCTTATGGTTATTCATGGGAACAGTCTGCACATTGCTGTATGAAATGTGGGTACACACATTTCCTGGTGCATGTGGACAGAGGACAGGCCAGGTGACAGCCTTGGGCATCGGGTCTCTTTGCTGTTTCCTGTCAGCATGCAAGCCTGGCTGACCTGAGTTCCCACGGTGTCTCCCGTCTCTTGTCTCTACCTCCCATCTCTCTGTAGGAGCACTGGGCTTAGAGATGCTTGCACCACATGTCTGCCCTCTTATGTGGGTTCTGGGGATTCAAACTCGGGTCTTTACGCTTGCACACAGCAAACACTTTACTCACTGGCCATCCCCCCAGCCCCCAGGATAAATTCTTATTCTCTTCGTGGTGAGAGCTGTATTTTCATGTGGACAGTTGTAGGATCCAGGCTCCTTGAGTCTGGGGACAGGTACTCTCTTTTTCCTTTGCTTGACTCCAAAGCCCAGGCGACTGAGCACTCTATTGTTTCTGAGGGAAATGGGCTCCAAGTTGACGTCAGAACTGATGGGTCACAAACCAAAGCCCTTATAGCCCCATTTAAGGGTTCTCTGTAGGGTACCAGTCCACTCTTTGACCCCATCCAGGCCTGGCCACACAATGAAGTTAGGGATGAAGAGGCTTCTCTTTTTTTTTTTTTTTTTGGTTTTTCGAGACAGGGTTTCTCTGTGTAGCTTTGCGCCTCTCCTGGGACTCACTTGGTAGCCCAGGCTGGCCTCGAACTCACAGAGATCCGCCTGGCTCTGCCTCCCGAGTGCTGGGATTAAAGGCATGCGCCACCACCGCCCAGCTGAGGCTTCTCTTCTTTAGTGGCCCCCGCCACACACTGTCTTCACACACAGCCAGCCTTGAGAAGTTACTTGAAGTTTGCTCAAGGTCAGCATCACTCTTTTTACTTGACCTAAATTTTTTCCATGTTGGGCTAGGAAAGCTTCCAAATTAAACTACATGAGATTAAGGAGAATCATCCTCTTATTTTTTTTCCCCAAGAGCAATGCACTGGGGTTGAGGCAGAGTGCACTTAGAGGTGACCAGTGCGGGCCACTCTGTCCTGCCAGAAACCAGCCTCCTGTTTAATTGTTTTGCTGTCTCCAGAGATGGCCACTGTAAAGAAAGCCAAGCACGAAGACATGTAAGTCATCATCTTTGGAGAGGAGAAATATGTGTTATCTGAGGAGAAGGACTTGAATCATCATTTGCAAATGACAGACTAATCACTGCGGTATGTTGAAACAGAAAACATAGCAGGTTAACAGTTTTCTCTGAATTTTTGCCTTGCCTTTGTTTTGTCTTCCTTGTGGGAGAAGACTGCTATGTATATATCCCGAAGGATTCTAGAGAGTTCCTTCTTGGTCCACACCTGGCTAAATAATCTTTGGCACTCTACAGCTTTGGAAATAATTGGATTTATTGACCGGTAGGGTGGGGGTGGGGGTGTCAAAAGAATCTAATCTACCTTTTTTTTTTTTCAGCTAACTCAATGATCCGGAAGAGTCTAGAGACTGGAGAATTTTGCCAATTAGAAAACAGACACAGCTAAACTACATCTAGAGATGTTTACCCAGGAAGTAACAGAACAAATAAACAAAGCGGGAAATATCAAGCTGTACATTGAAGAAGTATGACAGTAAAAATAGGAAATGACTCAAGTGTTCTAGGCAATAAGAATGATACTAAGATAAATTTTAATTCATTTGTTCTATGAAGTGCTACTTATTCATTAAAACTAATGCAGATCTATTATTTCCTCAGATAAAAATTCACAGTGTGTTGTTACATGTATATGAAAATATATGCAGGTGTAGTATATGTCTATACATTTCCACATAGAGTACTTGTGATAGTTGTGGGTGACTAGGAATATTATTTTTGTTTATGATTATCTATGTCTTTAACTCTTCTCTACTAAAAACTTAGATTGAAAAAGCATGAAACCCAAGTACTTAAAACTGTCTCCCATAGATTTTCCCCATTTCCTTTTATCTTAGTAAGATGTATCTTAGCACGCATGTGAGTATAGAAATCAAACATTGTTCTGACCAAACCTACACTATATTTGAAGATTGAAATTGAGGAAGGGGCTTGTTGTTATTTCTGCTCAATGTTGCAAACTCCTCATTTGATGATGTTTCACTGTCTGCCGCTTCTCTGTGTCTGCTACTTTTATTCTTTTACTTTTGCTTGCCATGTACATAATCAACTCATTCATTAAAGCCCCAAGTGTGGCTATCACAATCACTCTCCAGTCTGTAAAGAACAGATGTAAGATGTATCATTGACAAATAAACACAAATTCCTTTAAAATATTGGTAAGAGAAAGGCGAATAACCAACATGACCAGACACTACACAAAAGGGGAAAAAAACAGAAATGACACAAAACGTTTGAAAAGATACCAGTCCTACCAGTGACCAATAAAATGCAAACCAGAGTCACAAAGAGGTATGGTGAGATTTTATATCTCCTCTAGAGAGGTACTGATAGAGCAGAGACCCTACACCATGATGGTTAAAAGGCACAAAAACTGGAAAACCTGAAAGGATGCAGTCATGATGCAGATTGTAAATCTTTCCTCCTACCAGTTACATTACTGTTTTCATCCCCAGGGGAAGTTTTATGCCTGTAGCTCACGAGAGATGTCCAAGAATAGCCCCAGATGCTGTGTTTATGATAGTCCCGGTCAGGGAGCAACGCCCATGTTCAGTGGAAGGGGGCTTGATGAACAAGCGCTAGGGATTCACGCTATGGAATTCCACACTGCAGGGAAAAATAAAAGTTAGACATACCTTGCAAGCAAAACGTGGACTGGAAAAGTTAGTTCCAGAAGACTGGGCAAAGCTAAGCAGCATATTTTGAGAGAAATATAGATATATAGTGAAACATCAGGAAATGCAAGGGAGTGATGGACACAAGTGAAGACTGAGGGGAAAGGGAGACTGAAAAGGGCTGCTGAGGCGGAGGGTGTCAGCCTGCTCTACTGTTCACTGTGGCTGGTGATGCCTGGGATTGATCTGGGGGGGCGTCCAGAGTAATGCTAATTATCTCAATCTGGGTAGTTACTAATATAAATATTTTCATATATAAAAGAATTAATAAAACTGAGTGTGGACCCTGGCATTCATGAGTCTAAGGCAAGAGGAGGTACAGAGAGGTTCAAGGCCAGCCTGGGCTACATAAGTGAGATCTAGTCTCTCAAAAAAAAATTTAAAAGATATTGGGGTGGTGTTCTGGTTGGTTTTTTCAACTTGACACAAATTAGTCAGTAGGGAAGAGTGACTCTCACTTTAGGAATTGCCTTCATCAGATTGGCCTGTAGGCAAGTTTGTGGGGGCATTTTCTTGGTTGACTGATGTGGGGGCGCTCAGACTGCTTTGAAAAGAATGTGGCATGTGGTCTTGGGATGTATGAGAAAGCAGACTGAGCACTCCATGGCAAGCAAGCCAGTAAGCAGCACTTCTCCGTGCCCTCTGCTTCAGCTCCGGCTGGAGCTCCTGCCTTGACTTTCCTCAGTGATGGAGTGTGACCTGGGAGTTTTAAGATGAAATAAACCCTTTGCTCCCCAAGTTGCTTTTGGTTAATGTTTCATCCCAGGAGCAGAGAAATCCAACTAGAACATCTAGGAAGATGGGTCAGTGGTTAAAATGCATATTAGTGAGCTCTAGGTGTGAATGAGAGCAACTGCCTTAAAAGAACAAGGTGGACGAGCAGTCACGGATTTCTCATATCAACCTCCGTCTGCACATGCACTCCTGCGTGTGTGCACACACACATGTAAATACACATACGCACATGAACACATCACACACACAAACACACTAAAAGAACAAAAAGGAAAAAAAGGCTGCCAATAGAGAATGTGACTTCTCATCCCAATCCCGCCTCCACTACGAACCATGTCATTTTTGGCAAGGCACTTAGCCTCACCAGCCTCACTTGTAAATAAATGGTTTTTAACAAAGCCAGCCTTACCTTTTCATAGGATTGTGTGAGGACCAAGTGTACTTGAAAGTGTTTGGTGTGTTATTAATGAAAGGCAGTGTCCACAGGCAATATAGTTTTCCAAATAGGAACTCAAAAGGTTTAATCTGTCCAAACCGGTGTCCAGAACCCACATGACGAGAGGTGGGAATGATCAATTGAATCACACTTCCTCCTCCTGCCAGCCCAGCTTTCTGTGGAGTTGTTAGCCAAAGGCTGTCTGAAGCTGTTAGCTGGAGAGATGCAGCTGGCCTCGGGAGAGCCGGCCTTGGAATCAGAAGAAATGGCTCCGAATCTTGGCTTTGTCCCTGACTAACTGAGGTGCTAGTGACTGGCTTCCTACTCACACTCTTGGATTTCTTTGTGAAGTGGTGACTTTGTTGCCAATAGAGAATGGAAATATTTTCTTAAAAGAGATCAGGGCTCCCCGTCATCTTTCATACCCCCGGGGGTGGGGGGCACAGGAAGCAGCAGCAGGCGCTTGCTTCCCTTGCCTAGCAAACGGTGGGTGTTCACCTGAACCTCCAGCTTTCTTCCGTGTAGAGGCGACCTGCTCTGCCTTTTCATTTCTGACCTTCTGGAGGACCGGTCCCGGGGCAGAGAATGCCTGCTAAGTCTCTCATCTCTCTGTGCCTCCTGATCTCAGCTCAGCAGGGTGGTTGCTAGCTCTTTGACTGTAAGCCAACAGGAAGTATAAGATTAGGTAGAGGCACTTGTCACCAACCCTCACAGCCTGAATTCAGTCCCCAGAACCACATGACAGAAGTAGAGAGCCAAGACCTGCAAGTTGTCCTCTGACCTACACACACACACACACACACACACACACACACACACACACACACACACACCTTGGCATGAGCATGCACTCTCTCTCTCTCTCATACACACACACACACACACACACACACTAAATAAACAAGTGTAATAAAATATTTTAAATGCAGTGTAATGCAGCAACCAAAAGCAGATGGAGCAAAGTCCCAAGAGTTCTGAAACCTGTGACCCCTCAGACGTTGTCTTTGCATTGTCTTGGCAATCCCAAGGGGTCTGTAAAACTACCTTGCTGTGGTTTTAACTGCCTTTCCCTACTGGCTGATTTGAATGTCTCCTTATGTGTTTATTAGATACATACACACCCCTGGTGTGCCTTTCATGTCTTTGATTCATCTTCTAATTGGGTTTTTAAATTTTTCTACTTTTTATTGTGTGAATGTGCACATATGTTTGTATGCTCGTGTGTGTGTGTGTGTGTGTGTGTGTGTGTGTGTGTGTGACAGTTTCTGCTGTTGATGGGAAGGAACTTTCCACCTTTTGTGACAGGGGCTCTCACTGGCCTGAAACTTTGCCGAGTGGGCTAGGCTAGTTGACCTGACATGGAAGCTTCCAGGAATCTGCCTGTCTCTAACTCTTGTCTCGTGAAGAGATTACAAGTGTGTACCACCACACCCAGCATCTTTAACATGGGTTCTGGGGATCCAGGACCAGGTCTTCACGGTTGTGAGGCAAACACATCCAACAGCTTTCTCACCAGCCCCTAACATGGAAGTTTCTCCTTTTGATAAAGTGCAGTTTATTAAGCTTTCCTCACCTGCCAGAATCCTCTGGCTGACCCGCCTCTAATGCCTTCCTGAGATAAAGTTCCATCCTGGATTTGCCAGCTCACTTCTGTACATTTCCAGAGTGTGTAGCTCACATGAGACACAGACAGATTTCCAGCATGTGGCTTGACACACAGTAGGTGTTCAGCGTGTATTTTCTAAATATTCAGCAAGTGACACTGTGTGTGTAGCGGGGGCTCTAGACTCAAGAGCTCCCTTTGTAATTAGGGCAGTCTCTTTCCTCATTCTGCAGACAGTCCCACACTCCTGGCTTATTCTCTCCTTTGATCCTTTACCGGCCTTCTGTTGTGAGCATCCTTTAAGAATGAAATTAGACTCATATCTGTTACCCGGCACAAAATCCACTCCAAATGGATCAAGGACCCCAGTGTGAAACCTGAAAGACCGAGACTGCTAGAAGAGAACACAGGCAGGACCCTCCAAAGATGGTGTCAAAAGGACTTTCTGAATAAGACTCCGGTTGCTAGAGAATTAAGGTCAATAATTGACAAATGGGACCTTATAAAACTGAGAAACTTCTGTACAACAAAGGAAATAATCAATTGAATGAAGAAGAAATTTACAGAGTGGGAGAGAATTGTGTCCAGCCATACATACATTGGTTAGAGGATTAATACCTAAACTGTACAAAGTACTCAAAAACAAAGACCCAAGAAACAAATGACCCAATTAAAAAACTGGGCCACAGAGCCGAACACAGAGCTCTGAAACGAAGTAAAAATGACCAGGAAATCAGAGTGCTCAAGGTCCTTAGCAATTAGAGAAAAGTAAATGAAAACAACTCACCCCTACGATCAAGAAAAGAACCGACAACAAATGCTGAGGCGTGTGCAGGGCACTCTCTGTCACTGTTGGTGAGAACGCAGACTTGTGCGGCTCAACATAAATCTACAGCACGACCCGGCTATACCACTGCTTGGCATGTGTCCAAAGCCCTGGACATCCTACTCCACAGGTACCTGCTCAGCCCACTTCATTGCTGTTTTATTTACAGTATCTAGGAAATGGGAAACAATGTACAGGTCCTTCTACCAAGGAATAGATAAGTGCGGTACATATACACAAAAGGATATTATTCAGCTGTAAAGAAAAAATAAAAAATTTGCAGGTAAGTGGATAAAACAAGAAAACATACTGAGTGAGGTAACCAGACCAAGAAAGACAAATGTCACATTTTTTCTTGTCTGTGGATCTTCAGTTGTGAGTATGTAACTATAATAGATACTGGGAAAGTAAGAAGGGACCCTGGGGGCCAGGAAGAGCAAGCTCTAGAGAGTGGGGTAGTAGGACACAGGTGCTATGAAGGGGAAATGGGAAAATAGCAGGGGAGGCTCTAACTTGGAAGGGAAGAGGGAGGGCATAAATAACACTAAGGATGTGTTTTAAAAGCTATAGAAAATGTTATTTTGTGTTTACTTAAAATACATATGATAAAAATTTAAAAAATATTTATTAGTGTGTGTGTGCATCCACACGTGAGTGTGCACATGTGAGTGCACACACACACACACACACACACACACATGCACATGCATGCATTGTGTGTGTTTAGAGGTCTAAAGACAACTCTCTGGAGTGTGTTCTCTCCTTTCTCCTTTACATGGATTTTGGGATCTAATTCAGATCGTTAGGGTTACACAAAGAGATCCTTTAGCTGCTGAGCCCTCTTTTTTTTAAGATTTGTTTTTATTATTTTTAATTATGTG